TAGAACTGGGCCTCAAACCCAAAGTCTGTCTCCAAATTCTTTTTCCATTGTGACAAACCACTTGTGTCGTGTACATATCTGCCTTTTTTGACAGACTACTAACTGCAATTTAACTTGTCTTGATTGTGTAGTCACAGATTATGATGCTTTTACCCTTACTCCATTGTTTTTCTTACCCAATGGTATGGCGGGGGGTGAGGTAGTGGATGACTAAATACATCAGTGTGGCACATTAGGTAAGGACCACAGGAGAGAATGAGACCCTGTCTCTCATTGTCAGTATGGGTACATGCAATAGTACCTCTCCTCTCCATCTAATTTGTTCCTTTTAAATCTGCTATAAGCTGAGCTGAGACAAGTACCTTTGTTTGAAGTATGTGCAGAATATAAGCAAGCTTTAAGTGAAAGTTTGAGGAGTTATCCTATTAAACAAGGTGTAGGTGTCAGTCAGTCATGGTCCCATCAGGAAAGAGAGCATACTCCAGTAAGGATAACTCAGGGAGGGTTTAATAAGGTTACTATAAAGAAAGGTGTGGGCAGGCAGGATATACGCTAATCACAAGAGACAGTTCTAGTACCCTGGGACTAGTGAGAGCACCTCTAAGCCCAAGGCACAAAAGAAACAGAACTTTCCAAACAAACCTAGGAGCGAGTCATGTAGAAAGAACTACCTTTAGAGGAACAGCAGTCTTCAACCAAGGGACATGGCCAGCCAGAGACAACACCCATAAAAAGAAAGCAGGGTAATTAAATTCCGTAACCTCAGAGGGGAAAGAAGCCCACTGATGTAGAAGTGTAAGTAAGTCAGCCTCCCAGGAAAAGAACAGGTGGGAAAGAATGGAGTGGACCTAAAGGAGCAAATAAAGGCATCTAATTCAACCTCAGAGAATCTTTCTGATGCATTTTTCACATCTCTTTATCCTAATAGGTAAGTGCCATATAAGGAAAGGGTTACGGAACATGACATTTCTCGTCCCATTTATTTATTTATTTACTTATTTATTTATTTATTTATTTATTTATTTATTTTAAAAATGTCTTTATTGATTTCAAACAGAGGAAGGGAGAGAGGGAGAGAGAGAGAGAGAGAAACATCAATGATGAGAGTCATTGATCGGCGGCCTCCTGCACACCCCCTACTGGGGATGAAGCCCGCAACCTGGGCATGTGCCCCGACAGGAATCAAACTGTGATCTCCTGGATCATAGGTCGATGCTCAACCACTGAGCCATGCTGGCCAGGCTCTCATCCCTTTTAAATAACAATGCACAGGGCCTATCTACCATAAAATATTTGTAAGCATGTTTTTCACTAGTAAGTATTGTCATTTACCGTTCTACTTATAATTGTTCAGAATTCTTTGAAGGTCCAATGCTTTATAGGGCTTTCCCCATGCTTATGCACTTCCCACTTACCTTGCTATGGAAAATAAAACCACAAATATGCAGATACTATCAGAACCCTCGAGGAGCTTATATTTAGGGGGTTATATTCTTAGATAACTCAGAAGGCAGAATGAGGTAAGTGCAATCAAAGAGAAAAGAGCTATGGTACTGTGAAAAGTTCTGGAACAGGCTTTCTAGCCATCTGGCCCCTGCCAGGCACAACTCCAGCCGAACTCACTGTTACCCTATTAACAAACTATAGAAGCTTCAATCAGGTTTCCTGTCGGTCCAGATCTGGAGAACTACTAACCAAGCTAACAGCCTCCAAATTTTTACTAAACCCTCAGCCAACAAGACAGACCCTTCCCCCTCCAGGAAAAAGCTCCTCTGCTTCCTAAGGATACTTCAAATGTCACCTCCTCACCTAACTTACCTGGAACCTCAAGGAACAATTAGTTTATGCCTTCCCTGCAATCCCCAAAAGCATTTGCTTCAAGCACTTAAAGCACTTACTATTATCCATGTGAACCTGTGCAAAGTCCTCACTAGACTGTGAGATTTTTAAATTTTATTTTAGAGAGAGAGAGAAACACCGATTTATTGTTCCTCTTATTTATGCATTCACTGGTTGCTTTTTGTATGTGCCCTGACTGGGGGATAGAACCTGTGGGATGATGCTCTAACCAACTGAGCTCCCTGGCCAGGACTAGACTATGAGATCTTAAAGCAGCTTTGTATCCTCAGCCACTCACAGGTGAGTGTCAAACACAGAAGTACTTTACATGTATTACTGTATATATTATATTAACATATACATATTAATCATCACAAAAAAACTGCAAATGAGGTATGAGGTATGAATTCTCATCATCTCAATTTTACAGATGAGGAAAATAAAGTGCACAGAAAGGTTAAGTAACATGCTCAAAGTCTCAAAGATAATAAGGACTGGACCCCAAGATTTCAACCTAGGCACAACTCCAGAACTGAATTTCAACAGACCTAATGGGTTGAGAAGGTCTCACTATAAGACCAATGGTCTCCACCCTAGAGGGCATAATTATTATTCACCCCCGAGGTAAGGACAATATTGAAACCTCGAGTCATATTTGTTTTAGCTCAGCCTTTGTAAAATGTCTATTTTTGTAAATTATAAAATGTACATAATACAGCCCTGGACGGTGTGGTTCAGTTGGTTGGAGTGTCCCTTGTGTACCAAAAGGTGACATGTTCAATTCCCAGTCAGGGCACATTCTTGGGTTTCAGGTTTGATCCCTGGTTGGGGTACATAACAGGAGTCAACTGATCGATTTCTCACTCAAATCGATGTCTCTGTTTCTCTCTCTCTAAAAATCAATAAAACATATCCCCATGCCTGGCCGGTGTGGCTCAGTGGATTGAGCGTCGTTCCATGCACCAAGAGATTCTCAGTCAGGGCATATGCCAGGGTTTCGGGCTCGATCCCCAGTTGGGGGTATTCAGGAGGCAGCAGATGGATGTTTCTCTCAAACATCCATGTTCCTATCTCTCTCTCCCTCTCCCTTCTTCTCTCTAAAAATCAATAAAAAACATAATAAAATAAAACAAAACACATCCTTAGGTGAAAAATTTTAAAATGTGCATAATACAGAGTCCAGTCAATACTATAATTGTAATTTAAAACAAACATTCACATAATGTGTGTGCATACTCAACCCTATTTACTGATAGAACGCTAAAACATTTGAGGCCACTGCTCTAGATTACTTCCCCCAGGGACTCTGGGCTCCAACATTCTCTCTGCCCAGCACTTCAGTTAAAACATTAACCCAATGTTTAGCCTATAGGTAAGCTTCTAGAGGCAAGAGTCTGCTCCTTCATTCATCTTTGTAAGCCCTACATCAGCACAGGGCCTGGTGCTTAGCAGATGGTCAATGTTGAATATAACTGTATCATAAGAACCTCACTGAAAAAAGTCCTCTCAGTATTTTAATGCAACTTACTATATGCTTTCAGATTAAAAGAAAATGTATACTAAGCACACTGCCTAGGAATGTAGAATTGTCTTAGGAACACCAAAAAAATTTTAAATATTATGTCCTCATCAGTTACATAATAGAACAAAAATTGTACTTTGGGGCATATATTTTAAACTGAAAACTGCATAAGAGATTTGGACATAAAAAATTTAAGTTCAGATAAAAGGTTCTTTCACTACCGAGATGGTGCACCTTTGTCAGACCTAAAGGTCACCTCTGCTTTTCTTTAGTGATAAAACTCCAAGAGGAAGGGAATTAAACTATCAAAAGCTGCAACTGCAGACTTGACTATGAAGAGGCGTCAGCTGGGGGCATCTACTTTGCATTTCCTCAAACCAACATTTAATGGGTAGCAAACAAAGGAGAAGCTATGTAAAGCCTCCTTTTTAGGTGTTGGGCTCTGAGGCTACATTAGATTGCAGGATTTCTTCTGTTCCTCAGTTTCATCCTCTGTAAAATGGGCATTTTGAAGTATTTCACTCATATTTATAAGTCACGAGGATTAAATGAGAGAGAGCATGCAGAATGAATGTTTCCTCATTACCATGTCTTCCCCCTACCCCAACTAAATTCAAAGCCTGAGTTTGGTCTCTAGTTTGTTGCTATATTCCCAGGGCCAAGAATGGTACTTTTTACTTAATAGATTATTTAACAAATATTAAGTGAACAGAATGCAAAATGCCTACTGCTCAAAAAATGTGGGCTATTATTGCTATTGTAATAAGAAACAATTAAATTTTTATTGTGTTAAGAGACCCCACCCCTCCCCCAAGGATCTCACAATTCCTGGTGGAACACAAGATAAATGCTGGAATGGAGGCATAGAGGTAAGAAAACCAACTGGATCATAAAGCAGGTCTCAACAAAGACAAAATAAAATCTTAAGTGCATAACCACAGCCCAATTCCGGGCTTTCCAGAGTGAGGGTCACCCTGGATGAGGTTTATTAGCGATCGCAATGACAGTTTTCAAGCTTGTGTATGTGCCAAAGCCTGTGCCAAGCATTCTACTGGCTTCACAAAACCCAAGAACGGGGGTCGGATGGGGTTGTGGAGATGATCTTCACACCCCCATTTCACAGATGGGAGAAGTGAGGCTTATAGAGATCCAAGGTCGCAGCCTGTAAATGTGAGGAACCCAGGCAGTCCGACCCCTGAGCCTGCACTCGGCAGGCCCCTCAGAGGGGCCTTCCTCGTCTCCTCTGCCATCGGCCCCATCCATACCCCTCGAAATGAGAAGTGTGTAACGTTTCCCCAAGAGCCGGACTTAGTGGCCTCGACGCTGGGAGAACAAAACAATCCTTGTCCGTAGGCAAGCCTGATGGACGCCGGCCCAGCCTGGGCTCCGAGGCCGCGGTCCACACAGTTTCGCTCACACCGTGAGCCCCAAGCCCTCCTGACCGCGCTAGAAGTGCCCAGGCGGCCCTGGGAGCCCAGAAAGGCCCTGCCTGCCGCATGACCTTGGATCCGCCGCCCTGCCTCGGGCCTCAGTTTCCCCACCCCGGCCTCGCGCCGGGGGCCTCTCCGAAGCTCGCGCCCGTGGAGCCGCAGGCCTCTCACACGCCCCCCTCGGCCGCCCGCCTTCCCGTTCCACTTACGCTGGAAGGCGGCCGCTCCAGGGACGCCCACCATCGCCGAGTGCCTCAGTCGCGAGCCTCCCGCCTCCGCCCGGAGCCAGGGAGCCTCGCAGACTCGGTCGCGGGACCTGTAGCAGCCAAGCTCGCCAGCCCAGCGCAGCC